GGAAGATCGCAAACGAGATAAGCGTAAATTGCAGTTTATTCCAGGTGTAACCCTCGCGGCTGGTGTAATGTCCTGCCTTAAGTAGCGTAAGTCTGGTGAAAACGGCTCCGTGGTAAAGCAGAAGTTGAAAGTAAAGGTTTCTGGACGCCATAACAGTCTCGTCTTAAAATGGTGAACGGTGCCAGTTATTGCAAAACAACCCTGCTCAGCGCCTGCTATCGCTTACTGGGTGTCAGCCACTGGCAGCCGCGTAGCTCCCCCGCGGGGACAGAGAGCTAATAGTCAATACAGCTTTTAGGTCTTTATTAAACAGCACAGAACGTACAAAAAGAACGTTATTCGAGGACCCCATATTTGTTTGTTTTAGCTATACGGAAAATTCTATCCAAACCCACACAAGTCAGAAAAGGATTAAAACCAACAAATGCCAAACTATATTTTGCACTTCAGCCTTGCCTTGAAATAAGCTCCTACAGGTCATGCGTTTGGTTACAGTAAATTTTTGAATACACAGATCATTCGGTTTATAGCTTGAACTTCAGGGAATTGTTATTCAAATTAATTTTCATCTTAAGCCAGGAAAGACTTGACCTGTGAGAACAAAAAGCATAGATATTTCCTGCATTAAAAACTAAATTATGAGGCTTTTCCCTTTTGTTACTCTGTAGTCTCTGATGATGTTTTGCCTCTACATCTAATTCATGACCTGAAATGTTTGTGGCCTTCCAAGTGCTACTCATGGTATTTGAGTGTAGTCTGTTCACAGCTCTGAGCTGTTAATTGCTGTTTCCCATGAGGATGTAATGACGGATACCTCCACAACTGAACATTGTGCTCCCCTCCCCAGTTTATTTAGAGCTGTTTAATTGGGGGAATTAGGCTTGGCTCAGAGGAGTCATTCCTCAGTAATCTCGAATGGATGACCCAGGACACGATGCAGAAAACTGTACATGAGGTTTGCTAGGAGAGGACTTCCCTCTGCCTTTAAATATTAGGAGGAGTTCGGTTGGGTTTTGTTGGGCACACAGCACACTGCTCCAGCAGAATTTGCTTTGGCATTTACTTCCTGATGCTTGCCTTTCCTTGCAACTGGTAAACACCATCTTAACTCGTGACCTCTTCCTTACCACCTAGTTTCCTGAAATGGCTGTTTACTCTCCCTCCCAGCTCTGCTTAGAAATATCACTTGATGCCTTTGGAACTCGGTTCAGGTAACTGAACCTTGTACATAACCTTTGTCAGATGTGTTGTGCAAGGGGGCAGAGGTACCTTGAAGGAGTGATTTGTACTAATCCCAAACAAGCATTTCACCACAGATTTTAAGAGTGTAAGTGGAAGAAAAGCAGAAACAATATTTGATATTTACCTTATCAATCAGGTACTCCTGTTTAATCTCATCATTCTTAAAGTCTTCATTAACATCCAAAACTAGAATAGGAATCTCTTTAAGGTTCTCAAAATCAACTCTGTTAAATAGAGGAAATAGTGTTAGTAAAGAATGGTATGAAGTGCTGTGTATAAAAGGCTTCAGCTCTTCAGTTGTTTTCCAAGGGTGCAGCATTAGTCAGATTACCACGTGCACCTGAGATGTTAATGCTGATGCTCATGACTTAAGTATAATGCCCAAGTCAAGTTTGTCCTTAATTGCTCTGTGTGACTGAGTCAACATTGTATCACCATAACTTCCATATGTTTCACGAATCTGATTAAGTATCTATTTTTAATGTACAAATAGGGGGGGAAAACCAGGTTTTTTTTACCTTATTTTCCTTTATCTTATTGTTTTTGCCATGCAGTGTGGCTCTGTTAGACACAGTGTTTTTTAAAGCTTGCCCCGCGTCTCCTACGTATAATCCATTTACTAAAGCAGTGTGGCTCTGTTAGACGCAGTGTTTTTTAAAGCTTGCCCCGTGTCTCCTACGTATAATCCATTTACTAAAATTGACATTTGCATTCCTTTTATGTTTCTAAAGCTTCCTTTCATGGGGATGACCTGGACCAGGTTACAGGACTGGTACTTAAAATGTCTTGGAGATAAGCAAGGCCATTTTGGATTCAGTTTAGGAACAGATGGGAGCAGGAATTGTGCAACTGGATGTAGTAGTTACTTTGAGCAGTAGTTACTTTTCTATTGGTTTCACTTCCTAAGTGTGGAAAGCGTTTCTAAGATGCAGCAAGTGTGCTGAAGAACATTCTGACTTGTGCTTGCAAGTGTTCCTATGAAAAATACAGGAAATGCTGACAACTCTGGAATGAGCACACAATGTAAACATTCCCAGAATTCCACAATATGCACTGCCTTCTCTCTCCTAAGCATTTTGGTCATCCTACTTGGAACTTAGGAAAGTAGATGTGACTGATAATGTACTTTTCCTGGAATTGTAATGCTTCCCATTCAGTAGAGTATTTTGGGCTTCTCTAGGGGGAAATCTAAAGTGTGCTTCCATGTTTTAAGAGATGGGAAAGTCAGGAAGTTGGAGGAAGGTATGCAGAGATGACTCAGTTGTCGACTGGGGACTGGGTCTTGTGTGTGTAACAGCGTTTGCCTAAAGCCTTTCTGATTACTGTTTGTTTTGCAGATAGGATTAATATTTAAACTTAGTTGAAATACAGTCCTGGTAGTGTGAAGGTAGTTGGGACCTTTCTCCCCCTTACAGTGGATCAGAAAGCTGCTTAGTAAGTGACTTCCGTGATTGGCCACCGAACACCATTTTAACTGTCCTATTCCTGTGCCTTTCCAACTGTCACAATTCCTATCCCTGCTGGAGTTCCAGCTGTAAAGCTTCCGAGTTGAAGCTAATGCTCAACAAAGGTTTTAAATGAGATGAATTCCATCTCTTGAAACCTGAAGTGTGTCTAAAGATGCCCTTTCAGCTGTGCCTGAGTGAAGCTAGACTTGTGCTAAAATTGCTAAGGTATAAGGTAGGAAAGAGCCTCATCTGCAAATTGGAACTAGCAACAGGAAATGGTTCCTACCCCACAGTCCTCTCATGAAGCCAGGCTTCGTGTTTGGAGTGGAGGTTTTCCAGATACTCCAGCTCAATTCCCTGCTCCTCTTCTCTTCCTCTCATCTGTAGCCTTTCCATGCATTTCTGGAGGAAAACAAAAGTACAAACCTGGTAATGAATCATGTGTTGAAGGTTAAATCAGCTAAACGGATCAAGTGGCCCTTAACTGGGAAGGACTAATGCTACACATTAGTGAGCATTAATTTTAAATGCTTGGCTGAACGTAAATGTGCTAAATCTAGAATGTGGTTTTTAAAGAAAAAAATAATCAAACATTTTGTACTCTTAAGCTCCTGGAAAATGAAGTTGGAACTGAAATACTTAGATATTTAGTGAGCATACCTGAGGGGTGGTTCTGAGGTAGATCATGCCATCCAGTTCTATATCTGATTGAAACTGATTCAAAAGCCACGTGTGCCAGTCCTGGTAAATGGACCACTCTGTTTCGTTAATGTTTCCAGACTCAAACAGGTTGGAAGCAAATACATATCTGCAATGAAAGACATCAGTCTCATGCCAGGAACAACAAAAGTGGACTACCAAAACCACTTGGCATTAGAACCCAGTCAGGGCACTGAAGAACTGGCTACTCTTAACCTGTTTCCTGCAGGTATTAGTTTGGTACCAAGTGTTTGCCCAACTCCATAGCTTTGAGCATAAAGTCCTGGAGCTGTTATTGTGAGCTCCTGTGCTGTGAGAGTAATTACCTGTCACTGTACACAGATCTCTCAAAAAACTGCACTGGATGTTCTGCTTCTTGTAGCTTGGCTGAGACGGGTTTTAATTGTGCTCTGACTCTGCTCAAGCAAGCGTAACTCTGAAATGTGTAAGCCCATCTTGTGGGTTTGTCATACAGCATTTGAAGTAGGTTTCCTCCACTCTTCTGAGATGTTGAAAGTTCCTAGTAGGCGAAAGAAAATTAATACCAGTGAGTTTGCAGGATTTTATTCCCTTATCTCAATGCAGAATTGTGGTTTGTTCAATAAAAATTCGTGGCTTTGTATTTTCTTTGTTTAAGGAAATGCTTAGGCATAGGATTAAAGGGACTTTTCTCAGCTGATAGTAGTCATCATGACAGCTTTTTAAGTAGGTTATTTGCTGAGCCCCAGAGTTTAAATGTGATTCCTGCGGAGTAGGGGATGTGACTTGGAATATGCATTCAGTGCATTCAGTACATTCAGTAGTATCTTGCCTTTACAATTTGCGTGCCTGACCAACTGTTATGGTCGTGGGGATGACTCTGGCTGCTGCAGGCTAAGTATAGCTGGATTTTGGTTTAGCTCCCCGGTCGTGAAACTCACTGCAGTTCCTTCTGTGACCCAAATCCTGCACGACACGTACCTCATACTCATCCTCGGCTGTCTGGATGTTGCACCACTTAGCGATGGGTTCGGGGATGATCTCCCACTCATCGCTGTGTTTCTCCAGCAGCCTCACAAACGTTGACTTCCCTGCGGCTGCGGAACATTGGAGAAGTTCGCTCAGGGTGTGGGTCGGACTAGACTCTGGGTGCCGATCGCGCGGTGCGGGTGTGAGGTCTGTCGGGGGCGCTGGGGCCGCCCCGAGCAAAACGCGGCTAATCTGCGGCGCCAGAAGAGCCGCGCCCGGCCCGGGCGGGGGGGGCGAACGGCTCG